TATATGCCTTTATTCTAATCTCAAGCATACTTAAGAAAACTGAAGTAAATAATCAGCCTTAACATTATTTTTCTTCTCCTAATCTCAAACATAGTTAGAAGAAGTGAAATTAGCCTTAACATTGTTTTTTTCTTCTAATCTCCCATCTTATTTCTTCTTTTTCCTCAGTTTCCCTTTCATTAACTTTCTCGGATCAAAAACCCTAACTCCATTATCTTCCCTTGAAACCAACAAACCCGAGAAAATTCAATTGACCAAACCGGTCTACAATATTCAAGCACGCCATATTTTACAATCATCATAACATAGTCAAATCTAATATTTTACCTATGTGGAGATTAGCATGAAAAGAGAGCTAAACAGGTTAGGAAGAAAAGAAAACAACAAAATTAGAGTTATTTGCATACGCGCGGGTTATTTTCGTGTATTGCAAATATAGAAGAAATTTTTTATTGCTTTTCTAAAGTTATAAAAAGATTTTTTTTGAAATTTGATACAAACCATCACAAATTATATGCAATTAAAATGGTTTGAATTTAGGAAAACATTTTTGTGAAGGTTTTAAAAATATGCCGAATCGAAGGAAGTAGTAATTAATTAGTTAAAAAAGAATTTGGTGTCGCTAATATTTTCAGCGGCGACTCATCGACAGCCTTCTACTGTCTTCGTTTAACTTTGTGCTCTACCTCTGCTGTTGTCGTTTTGCTCTACCTCCGTTGTTGCCGCTGCGACAGCAACAAGTAAAAGAACATGGTCTTTGCATCAATCTTGAACATGATAAAAAGACAAAGCAATTGAACGCATTTAGGAACGGACAGAAAATGATTCATTGTGTAAAACAAAACAATTCAACATTGTCTTTTTCCATCAATTAATATGTCATATGATCACAACATAAAGGGTTAATAACGTATAAGCAAAGAAGATCTACCAACATATCCCCAGTGGTGAGAAACCTACCAAAAAAGATGAATAGGCTCTTAATTCAAGTTGTGGCAACAGATCTATTTATTAGGCTCTCAATATCCACTGGTGAGAAACCTACAAAATAAATGAATCTAAGATTTCAGTCAGTGATATGTTAATAAACATGAATGGAAAAAATTCTATTGCAAGCAACAACTGATGAATTAGAGGAGGAAAGGAATGTGAGATTTCACTGTTCAAAAATTTTGCCCAGCCGCTAGCTTAATTGTTCAAACTATTCAGCACAGCTTATCTCCATCTCTGCCTCTGCCTCAATAGTAACAATTAACCTGAGCTTGAGTCACATATATCACTATAAAAAAGTTGAACTTTCTTGTTGCCAAGGGTACTTCAGTTCTTCCAAACATTTGATGCCCTATATAAGTCATACGAAGTTAACATTGAAGAGAATGCTACAAACACATGATGAACGGATCAATATGAAATCAAACCCCATTTATGTTGGCGGATAACAACTCACTATAAATCTTTTCTCATCTATCAATTGTTTACTTACTTCATGACAATTTGCAGCATCCTCAGTTCCAGTCGAACTCTATGACAAACCTGATATAAATACATAGTTGTGAGCATATACTCTTTCCTTGTCAATATAAGCATCTCATTCATCTAAATTTTTTTAGAAATAAGCAATGCAATCATAAAGCGGCACAGTCCACCAAAGCCATATAACAAGAATGCTACTGAAACTTGCATAATTAGTCAGCTGACAATGTAATGATACTATAAAGCACATAAAGTGAAGAAAACATTTCATTATTTCTCATCTTCTCTATTAGATCCTCCATTTGCTTGCTTTGTCTATTTGAATCCTTGATCTTTTTAACCTCTCGAACCCTTCTTGTCAACAAAAATTGAAGAACTATCTTTGGCGGTGATGCCTCTATTTATCTCTTATCATAAGCAAAAAAAAAAAGAAAAAATCTCATTGATCACTCAAATTCGAACCACACAAGGTTGTTTACTCGCATTAGACAACCTTGTAACCACGATAGAGAATGAGACAATCGAACAAATTAACACATAAGAAATAGAAATGGGGTAAACATTTAAGATAAAGCATACGCGAGGCGAGGGCTTGAAAATTGTTACAGATTTCGCCATGGATTCTGCTCCAATTGAGGTTTATCGACAAATTGGAAGTCATGTCGCCGGAGAGATTGGAACTGATTCACCACGTTCCAATGGTCCCCAAAATTTCTCCCAAATCTTTAAAAAATCCCTACTTGGGATGAACAGCATCATCGGACGGTTGAGAGTTTGAATGTTTCATTCAAGGCAGGCGATCGATCTAAGACAGTGAATTTTAAAGGTTTTTTTTTATATAACAGATTTTGATAGATGAAAGAAATTCATCCGCACTTTGTGAGAGAATTTTTGTGGTGTGTGTTAATTTTTATTCACCTTTTACAATATGGTAGAATTCCATACATTGAAATCGTGCCACAATATTAGTTTTGTGTTTGTAAGTAAAAATTGATTTCTTAAAAAATAGACAACTATACGAATATAAAAAGAAATTATAACATAGAGATTATCAAAGTGTTTTAGTTTTGAGATAATTAAACATATATAATAGAGTTTTAAGAACGGAAATTAACATAGTCTTAAACAGGAAAACAAATATCATAAGAAGAAATAAACTAATTAAAAGTCAATAGTACAACGAAACATATTACAAACTTAGTTCAGACGATTAAGGTGGAGGGTAGATGTTCTAATCATCATCTGAAGCATCATAACGTAACCTAATGAAAGGAAAATAAAATAGTTACTATTCTCACAGAAAACAATATTTGAAAATGTATAATGATAGAAACATATTGTCATTCGTCTTTTCCAAAAATTTACCATCTTTTGAATCAAGTAACCTCACGGATTGGAGGATCGAAAAATACTTGAGAACATCCCCCATTACTACTCACGCGAACAACTCCTACGAAATCATGTTTTAATAGTATAATCAAATAAACAACATAAATATAATCAATTAAGAATAATAAACAGATATCATAAAACATTAATTACTAACCATTGTTCATAAGTTTGGCATGAAAGAATTGGCAAACTGCAATAGTGCCAGGGTTATCACGCCAAATATTCCATTGTCTCTCCAAATCCGTTGCAAGATCCACATAGACTTCGAATTCAAGATTTTGACCACTACAAAATATAGACTGTGTCACTTATAATTATACATATAAAAATGTGCTAAGAAACTAACAAAATAAACAAAATGCAAATACTCACTTCTACAAATTGTGACTCATTTCCTATATCCCATTCTACCAAAAATCTCCTCAAATGGATCATTCAACAAATACTCACTTGGTTCAACGTTCATGACGATTCCAATCAAATCTACATAATAACATGAAGTAAAAAATTAATTCGTTAAAATTAGTTGGT